CCCACCCCTAGAATTCCTGAAGCCTTTATCTGGCTTTTCCCAAAAAGGTAGTCAGTCTGGTGAGATTCTTGTAAATAGGTAGGCAACAATAAAGAAGCAACTCTGATCAGTTCACAGTGTCATTCTGATTCCTTGTGCCTGACATCCCAGTATCAGGGCCTACTAATATTGATAGTAATTTACTACCTCTGGAATGGCAAGCAACATTCCTAAATACCAGCTAATAGGAGCAACAGTAAAAGTCTTTTTCTTTTCCACCATGTTTATGATGGAGAATTTCTTAAAGGAATCTGTTGGTCACCTTATAATTCACTCACTTTTTTTTTTTTTTAACAAATCTTGAAGGTTATATTTCTCAAACAGAAATGTCAACCAGCATTTTTAACAGAACAGATTTTCCTTCCTTTCAAAACTTTCTCAAGAAAGACACTACTTTAAAATGTCACAGTTGAATCTGAAAACAACTTCTGGGAGAATAGCATGTTTGTGGTTAGAAAAGTCAGACTTTTAATGGATGGAAGGTTTCTCTTAATTAGATTATCAAGAGTCCATACTAATTTTCTTCATGTGTTTATTTACAAATCAAGTTTTTCTGAATTCTTTATGCAAATTTATTGCTAAACCAAACAAGACAGAGTTATTTTTTTACAACTGTAACTAAGCCTGGAATTATGGTTCAAAGTAGTGCCAGTCATTAAGCAGGTCATCATGTGACTGACATGATTTTACAATATTTTTTGGAGCAGTTGTTAAGCAAACACCACAGTTGTTAAGTGAAGCCATTTCCTGCAATGGGTGGTTTTTTTTTTAAATCACAGTCACATGACCATGGGATGCTAAAAATGACCATAAGTGCAGATTGGATGCCAATCATCCAGACTGTGACCACATGAGCACAAAGGGTGGGTAGATCAACAGAAGTTCAAATCAAGGGCATAAGTACTCTTTTTTGATGTCTGTTATAACTTTCAATAGTTGCTAAACAACTGGTCATGTCAAGAATTACCTGTGTTAGTTAAGTATACTTTTACATCGCAGAAGAGAGTCTAGTAGCCAAATGCAATAGTAAGACTACCAGCTCTGGAGCACATCAGCAGTTTAGGAAGAATTGGATACCACTTTTTGTTATGCTGGAGTCACACTATTATATGTGAGGAAATAGAGAAACATGATTTGAACTTGTTCTATATTCACTCCATTTTATTTTAATATGTGCTGTAATGTTTTGGAAAGAGTAATAATGTGTAAAGATGTTAATGTGATATTGAATTATATACAAAAAGCTTGGATTTATTTTTTGATGTATGACTACAGTTCTGTGTAGATCTAGGCATCTGCAATTAGCAACAATGATGCCAACATGACAAAATTGATGGGATATGACACAAGATTGGCCTTTTGCAATTAATTGCGACATCACAATTTCACAAGACACATACTTGCATCCAAAGCTGCAAAGCATATTTTGTTATTTGCCTCTTAATAGCTACCCATGAATATTTAAAAACTGAGTAACTTTCACATACCTATTGTTTTTCTTTTTTTTTGCTGTAAATTATATTGGTATAAATGAATGGGATGAGTGGGATAGGATAAGATGGAATAGCATAGGATAGGATCCTGTTTTGTAAAAGTCCAAATGAACATTTCTTTGGGGGGAAAAAAACTTAGTTCTGGCACATATAATGGTTGTCTCTTAGATCTCATGGCAATAAGAAAACATAAGTAAATTCATAATACATATTTCAACAATATCCAGTGGACAACATAAGGGAGAGTTTTTTTTCTAATGAAAAACATTGCATACTGCACATTGCTTGCATTTGGCAATCAAAAAGCTCAAGGGTGTAACAAAAATATGTATACTGTTCATGCACAATGCATATTTTGCATTTGGCAAACTGCCTGAAAAAGAAATCACAACAGACACAAAACCCTTAGAAACAACAATTGCATTTAAAAAGTAGAATTGAAAATGTTCTCAAATTACATATTGTAAAGTCTCAAACCTAGTTTTGCACACACACCTTGTGTGACTACCATCTACTGGTCCCAGCAACTCACACAGTTGTTGAGAGAAGAAGACAGTGAGAGAGAACTGTGTCATGACATATAAAACTAGACTTTGGACTCATCAAGTATATATCAAGTCATAAAATATTCTTAAAACAAACAGTTATTCTGGGTAAGTAACAAAAATAGTTGAGGAAAGAAGAAACATCCCTTTCCGTGAAAATGAGGTTAGTCATCAGAGTAGAGATTCTTATCTTGTACTAATCACTAGACATTGTGAACTAGAGATTTTATGTAAGTCATAAAAGAAAACAAAGTCTCTAGAGCAAAATAAATGTCTTCAAACAAACTTGCAGGATTCTGTTAATGTAATCTTACAGTAAAGCAGAATTAGTTCATCTGGTCATGTTTCCTGTCTGGGGTACTGGGACGGTTGAGATCAGCCTTAGAAATCTGATAGTACAAATATCCCACCATCTGTCTCAAAGGTGCTTTTCAAAAGGCAACTGGACTGTTGAGGAAGAAGAAGACATTTTGCTTCTTGTCCATGAACCTTCATTGGTTCTGGCAGTATGGTGGGGGCGATGGAGGGATTAGTTCTGACAGAATGGGGGGGCGCGGGTTTGGAAGCTCTTGAGGCTACTTGAGGGTTTATCTTCTCAAGAGCTCTCAGAGAAAGTGCTAAGACCAGATGACTGGAAAAAATATGATCCTTCCAATTCCCCCCTCCCCCGGTCAGAACCAATCCCTCCATAGCCCCCACTATACTGCTAGAACTGATGAAGCTTCTTGGATGAGAAGCAAAACTTCATCTTTTTCCTCTGCAAGGAAAAAAACAGTCCAGTTGCCTTTTAAAAAAGCACCTTTGAGATAACTATGACCTGGATTGACTGAGAATCTCCACAGACTTCTCCCATTGTCTCTTTTACAGCCTGAGAAGTTAGGGAAGTTCCAGTCAAAGTTTCTTTCCTTGCCCATTATGCAGTTGTGGACTATTTTATCTTATTGTTCTTTGGCAGCATCTCTTCCTCCCACCACCAGCTCCCAAGGTCATCCCCATATACCATTACACATAATGACAAGGCACAAAAACCTTTAGATGTTTGTATACCTTCTTCTCTGGATAAGAATCAGTATCTTAATCCATTATCCCCTAGATTTCAGGCCAGGAGAAGTGCTTCATTGTTCACTTACCCACACATTATTGTAAATTACATTTTGCTCTCTAAATATGAAAAGTGCCCAGAAAGCAATCTATCTTGGGAGACCATCTCAAGTTCCACAGCCCTTTCTTGAGTTCAGTTATTTGTGTCTCTGCTTTAATCACAGTTATTTAATTTTGTTGTTGTTATTTTGCAAGGACTGTGGAGAGGACCTAATTAAAGGAAGTCTGACATTAATGGTTAAATTGATGGAACTGGAATGTATTAATATATATATTAATATATCTCTGACTCTGCATGAATTAGAAGTCAACTATGTAAAATCTTTATACTATGCAAGATGACCCAAAATCACAACTGCCCTTTCATTAGACAAAGTGTGTGCATGTAGAAGCCACAATATGTAACTCCACCTTCTCACGGTCACACCACACCACCCTCTTGTAAATCCCAAGAACCAGTGAGATCTTTCTTATTAGGAACAGCACACTTTCAATGATAAAATCTGGAAGTCGTTTACAAAAGAGGCCAGCTTTCTGAAATCAGTAAAAATATTCTGCTTTTTCTCTTTCTTTTTTTTTAATCAAAAGGCCTATATCAAAAGGTTGTTTAAATATTTTTATAATTTCTGTAGTATTCTTTTCTACTAATTTATTTTTATATTTTATAAATGATAGCCAGCTAAACCACTGTCGAAAATTGGCAGGTTAAAAGCATTTAAAGTTATTAATAATATATTAGTGACTTTGCAAATAATAATTTGCATTGAAGTTTTTAATAGACATAGCAAAAACAAATACAAACGAAACAAAAAAAAAAGGAAAGTGTGAAAGAAGTTTCAAAAGTGCAAAAGAAAAAAGAGAGAATAAAAGAAAAAGGGAAAAGAAACAAAGGCTTCCGGCCTTTATCATACTGAGCGTAACCTAATATAACTTCCCCCTCAACAATAGATTAGTGACTGTCACAAACATTATTATATACAGTATTATTGTGGCAAGATCAATGTGTATTTCATATTTAGTTTTATCCCTATAGAAAATACATATTAACACACTGCAATGCTCTCTACATGGGGCTCCCCCTGAGGAGCACCCGGAGGCTCCAACTGGTCCAGAACGCAGCAGCGCGGGTAGTGACGGGAGCAGCATGGCGCTCCCATGTAACACCGCTCCTGCGTGAACTGCACTGGCTCCCGGTGGTCTTCTGGGTGCGCTTCAAGGTGTTGGTTATCACCTTTAAAGCGCTCCATGGCATAGGGCCTAGCTATCTTCGAGACCGCCTACTGCCACCGACGACCTCCCACCGACCCGTGCGCTCCCACAGAGAGGGCCTCCTCGGGGTGCCATCAGCCAAACAATGCAGGCTGGTGACCCCCAGGGGGAGGGCCTTCTCTGTGGGGGCACCTACCCTCTGGAATCAGTTGCCCCCTGAGATAAGGAGAATCCATGACCTCAGTGCCTTCCGCCGTGCCCTTAAAACTTTCTTTTTTCAACAAGCCGGGCTGGCTTAATTTCTTTTTAAGGGTTTTATTAATTGTCCTGTTTTGCTTATCGTTTTTAATTAATGGGGCCAAATCTATATATATTTTTAAATGTGTTTTAATATTTGTATTTGATGTTTTTATCTGGCTGTTCACCGCCCTGAGTCCTCAGGGAGAAGGGCGGTATACAAATTCAAAAATAAAATAAAATAAAAAATAAACACACACCTTTTTCATATTTCTGGGTTGTATGAAATCTGTTGCAAAAAAACCTTGCAGATGATGTGTGAGACATGTTTATGTATTGCCGTCTCTTTACCTATCTTGTCATTCTCTGCTTCCAGCTTTCTTTGGGAAGTATCTAAATGAATATAATGGTTCCTATGTGCCTCCTGGCTGGAAAGAATGGGTTGGATTACTTAAGAACTCTCGTTTTTACAACTACACGCTCTGTAGAAATGGAGTAAAGGAAAAGCACGGATCTGACTACACTAGGGTAGGTCCTATTGATTTATTTTAATTTGTCCCCCTTGATCCTAACTGTGAGATTAGCCCAGATACGTTATGGATTTAGTCTAATTAAAGTATTTGTTTTATAGCTGAGAGCCACTGCTGGTAATATAAACTGTAATCCATAAACCCGCTCTTTAGGCTGTACATTATCATTTTACTTCTGGAGGGATATATGATTTAAAATTTATTTAGTGACAGCAGGCAATTCCTGAGATGGTAAACATTCCAATATGCTTACCAGCTGAGAAATAGATTTGATTGTAGCTTGACTCATACTGTTTTGGCTGGTGTTCTCTACTTTAATTAACATACAGGGTTATATTCTGTACTGCTGTATGCCTGTAATTCTTTTATTGCAAAATCATTGCTTCCATGGTTGTGAGATGCTGCTGTTGGTCAATTCTAAATCTGTCACTAATCCCTAAATTCAATATTTAGTTGCAGGGCTATGAAAATGAGATCAAGAGTACATTTGTGATATAATCTCTTAATTACAATGAACTATTAAAAGTAAAGCTATTTGGAATGTAACATTCATGTAGCATTGCATTCTTTTATTGTTCATTGAGAGTAGCAAAACAGGAATGGGTATGTTCTTGTATGCATATTCAGATTTAATAGAGTGAACGAATCTAAGTTTTAACCAAGAATGTTAAATTAATAAAGGAATGCTTTAAAAAAAAACTGTTTCTCTATCACATAGAGACCTTTTTTCTTTTAATAGCAACTCTCTTGGGTGCATCACCAGCTATTTTTAAACTATCTCTAGTTTCAAAAGAAAATAAGAATCTGCCTACCTATTTAAAAATCCATCTCCTAATGCAACTCTCTTGTTTCCTAATGTACTACTGAGCTCAATTTAAAATGCCAATTTTAATATTTAAAAACCTAAATGGTTTGAGATGAGGTTACCTTTTCTTCTGTGTTTGTTTTTGATCTTTAAAATCTTCAGAATCTCTGCTTCATTATTTAGAGCCAATCAAATGAACCAAGGTAGGTTATTACCAGATAGAAGAACATTTTTGGATACAGAACAGTTTCCTTTGAGTGATTTACTTGGCAGTATTCTTGAAGTCTTTTCAGTTCCAAGGCCTTTTATGCATTGCATATAATCTCAGACTCAATTTAAAAAAAAAAAAAGTATGGCTGTAAATTTACGCTTTTTGTTTTAAGAGCCTATGTTTGATTTACCTTATTGTTATACAATCACATTTAGATTGTATTATTTTGCATTCAAATAGTGTTATAATGCTTTCCAGACAGTTTTATATTATGGATCAGTAAATAAATGTTATTAATAAATCTCCTCCGCCTGGTGCCATTTAGATGTATTTGATTAGAGAGAGAATTATTAGAATTGTGGCCCACCATATCTAGACAGTACTGTAAAGGGTGTTAAAAGCTGATCAGTGTTGCTCGGTAACAGCTGGTCCAAAATTTCAGGAAGGTTTCTTTTCCAAACAACCATGAGGTACCACAATATGATTTGCAGTTTCTTAAATTTAAAAATGGATTTCAAATTGAACTGTGATGCTTCTCAATTTTTATATTTTTACAGTACAACATTAAATTTTAAACTTCTTTTCACTGGATTAGATTTATCCATTCCTGCAATTGTTCTTCATGTTTTAGCTTCTAGTCCCCTAATCTTTATTGCTCTTTTCTGTATTCTTTCCATGATCTTAATATCTTTTTTATATTGTGGTGACCAAAACAGGATGCAGTATTCCAAGTATGGCTGTACTTAAGTCTTTGTAAATCAGTACTAATACTTCACGTGATCTTGATTCTATTCCTCTAGTAATGCAGCCCAGATTAATGCATTAATCTGTTGGCCTATATTTAAATGATTGTCCACTTGGATTCCAAGAGCCCTCTCAGTTACTACAAGCCAAGTTTGACCTAGTCATAATAACATCTAAGCAGGAATCAAGTTTTATATTAATATCTATCTTATGGAATGCATTGTTTTGCTGCAAATTTAAGCACACCTATAATTTTACGCCACAGTTTTATATCTGTTATGTATTGATACTTTTAAGCGGGAGTTTCAAACCTGCCTATGTTTCTGATTGGCTGACAGTCCCTCCAGGATTGTATATAAAGAGGGCTGCAGCCTCTGAGTTTTTGCTGAAGTCTCACTGTAAATTAAAGAGCTGTTGTCACTTGCTTGGTTGTGCCTCTCGTTATTCCTGAACCACTTCATTGGCGACGAAGGTGGGATAGAGGTCACAAGAAGCGAACCAGTGAGACCACGAGCTTCAGCTAGGCGACGAGGCGAACTACAGGAGGCATACCGAACATGTCTGCCTACGTTCCGCCCAAGCCTTTTGATCCGACCCGCGAAAAATGGGTCTCGTACCTGACGAGGTTCGAATGCTCGCTCGAAGCCAGCGATATGCAAGGGCTCTCCGCTAATCGGAAGAGGGCCCTCTTCCTAAGCCACTGTGGACCGGACGTGTTCGAGATGGCAGAGTCACTGTGCGAGCCAACGCCGGTCCAGACCGTCTCCTGGGACACCCTGATTGCCACGCTCCGGGCTCACTATGCTCCCGTGCCCTCCAAGTTCGTGCAACGATACCAACTCAGACAGCGTGTGCAGCGAGAGGGAGAACCGGTCAGCGCATACATGGCCAGCCTGAGAAAAGCTGCAACCCATTGCGACTATAGAGACTTGGACGATGCATTGCTTGAGCAACTTATCTGTGGTGTCCGGGACATTAGGCTGCAACGGCACCTGCTCGCCAAGCCTGATTTGACGCTTGCTGGAGCCCTAGACGAGGCTAGGGCTCATGAAGCCTCCACAAAAGCCGCAGAAACGCTGCAGCGTCCTCTGACCAGCAAAGACAACACCAAGTCTGCCCCGGTGCACAGAGAAGACGCCGGATCCAGCTCGGAGTCCGAGTCGGATGAGGACGTCTTCCGAACGGAGCACCAGAGAAAGGACACAGGCAGCCCGCGGCGAAGCTGTTCCAGCTGTGGAGGGCATCATGATAGACTGTCCTGCAAATGCAGGGAGGCTATCTGCAGGCGTTGCGAGAAAAAAGGGCACTTGGCGCGAGTCTGTAGAGCCATTCTGCCCAGAAAACACCAACCACGTGAGCGCCGCAGCCAACCAGAATCAGCGCGCCAGAAACAACCAACGAGAGAAGGCGCGAAAAAACGGCGCGAATTTGAACCTCGAGATGGCCGCAGCATTCACATCGACCAGGCCAGCACGGAAATCGAGGACAAAGTCAGCACGGTGGTCGAAATCAATGGCAAGCCATGCTCGATGGAGATCGACACCGGATCAGCTCTCTCCATAATGTCATGGGCGACCCTAAAGACCCTCCTGCCGTCGTTCCGGAAGGACCAGCTCTCCAAACAGAGACTGCGCATCCTAGACTACCAGGGGAACCGAGTCCCCCTCGAGGGCGTGGGCACGTTCCGAGTCACCTACGGAGACTACGAAAGAGACCTGCCACTGACCATCATCATGAAGCAGCTTCCCAGCCTTCTCGTCATGGGGTGGTTCCGAGCCCTCGGCATGGGCTTCACCGGCGTCCACCAGATGCTCAAGTCATCGTTAAAAGTCTCCTGACCGAGTTCCAGGACGTTTTCGGGGACACGTTGGGCAAGTATGTGGGGACCCCCATCTCTCTTAATCTAGACCCCAACGTAGCCCAAATAAGACTCAAGGCGAGACGGGTGCCCTTTGCATTGAAACCAAAGATCGATGCGGAACTAGACAAATTAATTAAACAAGGGATCTTGGTTCCCGTTGACCACGCAAAATGGGAAACCCCCATAGTGACCCCAGTTAAGTCGGACGGCTCAATTAGAATTTGCGCCGACTACAAGTGCACGATCAACAAGGCTTTGCAACCGAGCGCCTATCCGGTGCCGATCGTACATCATCTACTACACTCCCTGGGGCCAGGAAAAATTTTTGCTAAATTAGACCTGGCCCAGGCATATCAACAACTTCCTGTCGACGATGCCATGGCTGAGGCACAGACAATAGTAACCCATAGGGGTGCATTTAAATGCACCAGGCTCCAGTTCGGGGTGAGCGTAGCACCCGGCCTATTTCAAAGCACCATGGAGCGCCTGTTGCAAGGGCTTCCCGGGGTGGTGCCATATTTCGATGACGTCCTAGTCAGCGCTCAGGACGAACAACAACTTGGGGACAGAGTTAGAAATGTCCTGTTCAGATTCAGGGAAGCGGGACTCAAATTAAAAAAAAACAAGTGTATGATAGCAGTCCCCTCCGTTGAATTTTTGGGGTACAGGGTGGACGGCACAGGCATCCACCCTACCGAAAGCAAGGTGAGAGCTATTAAGAGCGCACCTGCCCCCAAGACCAAAGCTGAGCTCCAAGCCTTCCTTGGACTGCTCAATTTTTACTCAATGTTCCTGAAAGACAAGGCTACCGTCGCAGATCCCCTACACAAGCTATTGGGGAAGAATGTACCATGGGTCTGGGGGAAACCACAAGCAGCCGCATTCGAGGCTGTAAAGAGACTTCTATCGGCAGACAGTTTCCTAATCCAATACAACGCAGCGCTACCGCTTGTATTGGTTTGTGACGCCTCCCCCGTAGGAGTTGGTGCCGTCCTAGGCCATAGACTGCCGAACGGCCTAGAGGCGCCCATTGCATTTTACTCTCGCACTCTGTCAAGCGCAGAGCGGAACTATAGTCAATTGGACAGAGAGGCTCTGGCTGCAATTGCGGGGGTTAAAAAGTTCCACGAATACCTTTATGGCCGGCAATTCGAACTTGTGACTGATCACCGGCCCTTGCTAGGACTCTTGGCAGGCGACAGGCCCACCCCCGCTGCTCTTTCCCCATGTTTGACTAGATGGGCTATTTTTCTTTCGGCCTATTCATATCAGCTTGTACACCGACCCGGACAGACCCTGGGTCATGCAGATGCCCTCAGCCGCTGCCCCCTACCTGATTTACTGACCAATCCAACACCAGAGGCCTCCGTCCTTCTACTGGACACATTAACTTTGGGACCTATTTCCTCTGCCGAAGTGGCAAAAGCCTCAGCCAGGGACCCGATCATTCGCACTGTGATGGGGTGGGTGCTAAAAGGGTGGCCGGTCAAGGTGGACGGGGGGGACTACCAAGGTTTGTAAACAAACAAAATGAACTGTTTACGCAAGGTGGTTGTTTGTTGTGGGGTGACAGGGTGGTAGTGCCAACGAAACTACGAACAAGAGTCTTAGAATTGCTGCACGAAGGGCATCCGGGCATTGTCAGAATGAAAAGTTTAGCCCGCAGTTATGTATGGTGGCCCAACATGGACCAAGTCATCTCTGAGTGGGTGGGGAAGTGCAGACCCTGCCAGGAGTCTCGCCCCGATCCCCCAGTAGCGCCCATCCGAGAGTGGGAGAAACCAAAAGGGCCATGGGGGAGGATCCATATAGATTTCGCTGGCCCCTTCCATGGGCAAACATTTTTAATTGTAGTTGATGCCTTTTCGAAATGGCTCGAAATAATCCTAATGCCCTCTACCACAGCCGAGGCAGTCATTAAAACCCTTTGCAAGCTATTTGCCACACATGGCCTACCGGATACTCTAGTATCTGACAACGGCCCTCAATTCACAGCAACCCTGTTCGAGGGTTACTTGGCCGGACTGGGCATCCGCCATGCCCTATCGGCCCCGTTCCACCCAGCTTCTAACGGATTGGCCGAACGTTTTGTAAGAACGGCCAAAGAGGCCCTATCGAGACTAGATAACGGGGACTGGCAGGCCAGGATAGACCAATTCCTAGCGGTCCAGCATGCCACACCATGCGCAGCCACAGGGAGAAGCCCAGCAGAGCTCCTCATGGGCAGGAAGCTTCGGTGCATGTTAGATAGGCTTCATCCTAACTACTCGCACGAAAATTTCAAGGGAGAGACCTCAGGACTAAGACAGTTTCAGATTGGGTCCCCGGTGTTCGCTCGAAACTATGCCAGCGGACCTCTATGGGTTGCAGGAACCATAGTGGGCATAACGGGCCCGAAATCTTATACGGTAGACGTAGGGGTAGACAGACTCTGGAAGCGCCACATAGACCAGCTGAGAAAAAGGGTAGTCGGCGAAGCAAACATCAATTTAGACATCTCCGAGCCTAACTATAACAACTTTCCCAAAACAGCTAACTCAAGCCCGGGTTCGCGAGAATACTTAGCTGACAAGCCCTGGTTCCAGCGCTGCCCCAGCGAGTCGCCACTCCCAACCGGGGATAACCACGCCCCGGACAAAATCCAGGAGGTTCCATTGGCGGAGCCGGGAGAGACAGAAAGTCCCTCCGACCAGCTCGACGCCCCGCCAAACACTGAACTGCGCAGGTCAACTAGGACGAGAACTCGGCCTGGGCACCTGCGAGATTTTGTGTGTACTTATGTAAATATTTGAATGTTAGTGCCTTCTGGGAAGGGAGGGGTGTTATGTATTGATACTTTTAAGCGGGAGTTTCAAACCTGCCTATGTTTTTGATTGGCTGACAGTCCCTCCAGGATTGTATATAAGGAGGGCTGCAGCCTCTGAGTTTTTGCTGAAGTCTCACTGTAAATTAAAGAGCTGTTGTCACTTGCTTGGTTGTGCCTCTCGTTACCACTTCAATATCCAGCATTTATATTTAATATTTTTATGAAAGCAGTGAGTTTCCCAGCATATACCCTCCTGTTTTGGTAGGTCTTATGAGTATAACATATTCTCTGTAATTTTAAGGTGACAAGACATTTGTCTGTTTCCTTGCTGTCGTAATAGCTATGTCAAAGCTGAAAATAACATGACTATATCTTCTTTTACAGCTTTCGCCAACTGTTCTGTTTTCCACAGTCCCTCCCAAATATGGCATAATAATCCATTTTCTTAGTTTGACCCCTAGTTCGCAAGTGAGGAAGAACAGAAATGACCAAGAACCTGATGGAAGAACAGATGGTTTTCAAGCAACATAGTAGATCTTAAGAAAATACTTAAGAAAAATATTTAAGAAAATACATTTGAAATAGAGCAGTAGCATATATGTACTGTACAAGCACTGAAAATAACTCTTGGTTGTCTTCATTCTTAAACGATAATTTTATATTTTGATTTTGCTTCTCTTAAGTAGTACTTACCCTTATATAACACTCCATAGTGCTTTATAGCACTTTCTAACTGGTTGATAGTGTCAGCATATTGTCCCCAACAATCTGGGTCATCATTTTATCAGCCTCAGAAGAATGGAAAGCTTAGTCAACCTCATGCCCTATCAGGATGGACCTCCAGACTGTGGGCAGAATTAGATTGCAATGCTACATTCTAACCATTGTTGTGCTTCTTATCTTCATCTCATCCTTTCAGGACTATCTGACTGACTTGATCACCAATGACAGTATTAGCTTTTTCCGAATATCAAAGAAGATGTATCCCCATCGGCCAGTTTTGATGGTTCTTAGTCACGCAGCTCCACATGGTCCAGAAGATTCAGCCCCTCACTATTCTCATCTCTTCCCCAATGCTTCCCAACACATGTAAGTAAACATAAATAATACACATCAATTTTATGTAATTCCAGTATAAAGTCATTATAATCTATATTTATTATAAATTAAATACATTTCTGTGAAATAATTAGCGGATTATTTGCATCTTGTCATTACTTTATCCTAAAACAGAATAGCTCAGTATATTTTCCAACTTTCAAAACTCTGCAACTATTTGCTGTTTGAGTATAATGTATCGTTCTGCAAAGTTTACCTTTTGGTGTGGCAGAAACATTGTCAAGGACCGAAAAATAATTGGGAAAAATAGATACATAGGTTAACAGTAGATGATAGGATAGGGTAGAGATTTAAACTGTAATTTTAAGTATGATTATCTAGAAGTATGGCCTATTGACCACAGACAGACTTGGTTTGAAAATACATTAACCTATAAACCAAATCAAACCTTAAAATGTGCAAATCCATCTTTAACTGGTTAGGTGTGTTGGGTGAAAACAGCCCACAGAAATTTGCCCCTGCTAATTGCATATATTGTTTTTTATTTTGTAGGTGAGGTGTTGGGATACAATATGTAAGTGTGTGTATTATTTGGAAGATAATAATGTTTTAATAAAAAGCTACAGATTCAAAATTCCAAGAAAGAATTCACTGAAAAATTGGATGGGAGGAAGGGAGGAAATGTGTGAGTGCATATTGAGAAGAGGAATGCAGTGGCTCAATGGCTAAGACGCTGAACTTGTTGATCGAAAGGTCAGCAGTTCAGCGGTTCGAATCCCTAGTGCTGCGTAACAGGGTGAGCTCCCGTTACTTCTTCCAGCTTCTGCCAACCTAGCAGTTCAAAAGCATGTAAAAATGCAAATAGAAAAAATAGGGACCACCTTCCCACCTTTGGTGGGAAGGTAACAGTGTTCTGTGCGCCTTTGGCGTTTAGTCATGTGGCCACATGACCACAGAGACGTCTTCAGACAGCGCTGGCTCTTTGGCTTTGAAACGGAGATAAGCACCACCCCCTAGAGTCAGGAATGACTAGCACATATGTACAAGGAACCTTTACCTTTACCTTATATTGAGAAGATTTCTTAAAGCATATTGAAAGGTAACTATTTTGCTGAAAGTAACCAAAGTCTGCATTGGAATATTTAGTCATAACTTTAATATAAAAATAAATCCTCATTTCAATTTCTGCATGAAGTTTTATTTAGATTATCCAGATAGTTTCTTGACTTCTTTAAAAATCTTTTTCCACCATAGTCAAATAGTTTTTATAAGACCCATAGAGCTGCACGTGTAAACTGTGTAGTTTGGCTGCTTCTCCAAGGTCAAATATAGAGAATTTGTACAGGATTTGTAGAGCAAAGGATTTCTTCCCAATCTTACCACTTCAAATTTCTGAATGGATTTGAAGTGGTTATTTTTGTTCAGATTCCAAAGTCGTTATATGTTATGTATTTGGAAATAACATGGACAAATCTTTTAAACATAAGAGGGTTGCATTTGTAGTAATCAAAGAAGATTGTAGACTTTGGATGGATTAAGCAGCAGGAGGCTTCAGATGAACCAGGAAATCACAAAGGATATAGGAAAAGGAATTTACCAAGTGTTTTAGATTCATTCAGGGCATTACATAGCAACAGTTTCCATAACCATCAGCATTTTCAAAGCAGCTCTGTCGTTATCCTGCCACAATAACATTCTAAAATCAGAGGGAACATTAGCCATGTAAGAGAATAATAAGCAATCTTTTCTCCCTGAGAAAAAAAGAAACCTCCCTTCCTTTTCTCTGAACACTATTTGAATCAGAAAACCTATATCAAAGAATTCCATTTGTTGAAACACCATTAAACAAATTCCTAAACCCATTCAGGATGCTGGAAAACCAGAGACTGATTTTAACCTGTTGTAAACATTTTGCCTATCACCCCTATTCAAACAATAAATGCATAGGATATTTGCATGTAATCCTGATATATTAGTAAAGCTCAAGGTCTCAAGATACATAAAAATAGCCTCTGGAGTCATAGCCATTACAAGTCTTGACTGCTTCTTTCCAGAAATCTGGGCTTACAAAAATTGGAAGGCCCAGCATTTATTCCTCTACGTCTTTTTCAGGCATGCCTGCACAAAGTCCTAGGGAGTTCACCAGGACTACTTAAAATATTTCTGTTTAGTCTTGAAGTCCTTGATGCTTAGCCAGGATAGTCTCCAATATTCCACTGTGCCAAGCATCCAAGCTTGCTCTTCCAGATGCACCTGTCTTCTTCTTTCTTGCCTCTGTCATTAGATAGGATGCAAATTTTGCTACACATTTAGGGAAAATCATTACATGGTACTTGTGCAAGCTGGAGGTAGTGGAAATTACACAGTTTAAAGGATTAAAACACAATTTACAAAACTCATTCAGGTCTGGCTCATTTTGAAATCAGAATGAGAATTTAATATGGTTTGTTTTCTTGGTAACTGCTTATGCAGTCATATTGAAATTCTGCTCAATATTCAACTACTAAATATTGTAAAAAGAGTTTGTAAATTTGACCCAGAAGCATACTGGCACCCAAGACAGTTCACACAGCAGAGGTGTCACATGCATTGTTCTGTATGTGCCCAAAATTGCCGTGTGCGGTCTCATTCTCTGAAGCTTCTAGATACTTTTCAAGGGTAGCCCTGTGTACAGCATGTTGCAGTACTCCAAACATTGGTTGGACCCTAGTTTTTCCTCCTCAAGGAGAGCAGAATTATATTCAAAAAACAGGCTTTCTGATTGACCCCTCTGTAACATAGGTAGTCATCCTGCAGGTGCATGTGGGCCTGGGTGTTGTATTCATTTCAAAACCTTTCAAAATGTGGGAACCCAGTTCAGACCATTGGTTGAAAAGAAAACAAAACATACCTGTTCATAGCTATAGAAACAAGCCTTCCAGGATAGTTTCTTCCTGACTTCCTAGAGCAGTGATAGCTAACCTTTTTGCCATGGCATTCCAAAAGTGGAGGGAGTGCGGGGGGGGGCGCACACGTGCATGCCCATACCCATAATTCATTGTACCCCATCCCCCCAGCATGCATGCGCAACCCCCCCCGCTCCCCACACTTTTGGCATGTGATGGCACAGTGGGCCTGGTAGGCCCATTTTTCGCTCTCTCCAGGCTCCAGAGCCTTTCTAGGAGCCTGGGGAGGGCGAAAACGGTCTCCCCCCCCCGGAGGCCCTCCGGAGGCCAGAAACAGCCTGTTTCCCGACTTTTGGTGGGTCCAGAAGGCCCAAAAATCAGCTGGCCAGGAGTACTGATTTCATGAAAATCAGCACGCTGGAGCTGAGCTAGGGCAATGCTCGCCTGCCCACAGATATGATTCTGCGTGCCACCTGTGGCACACATGCCATAGGTTCGCCATCACAGTCCTAGAGTATCTGAAGGGACAACACAGAGTGGCAATACGTTACTATATAGCGTATTTCAATAACGTAGAGTTCTAGTGTTCTTTCCTAGGGAAAGTCTTCTGATCTGGTCTTCCTCATAAGGCTGACAATAACGGTTGCTCCTGAGAGAATAATAACAGAAAAGGGAACTAATGTCAGCAGCATGGTATTGCTACTATTCAAATTCCACTCTTTTTTGTTTTGTTTTGTTTTTTGTAAACTGCAATAATACATGCATACTGCAAAGCAAGAGAGCTTGTCTGGCAACATTGCTTTCATTATTTTGACTAAACAATTTGTCATAATAATAAGGAATTACCTGTGTGGGAGGTGGACAGCCATATAAATTTGTACAATAAATAAATAAATTTGTAAATTCTTATAAACATCACTGAAAGGAATATCAAGACAAGGGAGAGGAAATGTTAAAAGAAAAAAAAAGGAAGGATGTTTTCCCTGCTTGCCCTCACAAATTACCCTTGAGGGTAATAGAAAATTCAATAGAAAGATTGTTTCCCATCTCTGCCCAATAGCCCAAGGGTATTTTTATTTAGTTTATCTTATTTATATATAGTATTTAATTACCTCTCCCTCGCAGAGTGACTCTAGATGGTACCAAATAGAAATGAAGAGTCTCTTTAGGAATGAATATCTGGAGTTTAAAAATTTCAACTGATGCTGAATTCAATCTCCATTCTACCTCAAATATTGACGTGGTGCTTTTGCAAGCCTTTTGCAAGTCAAAATGTGTTCTCCAAAATATTAGCGTATTAGGGTCGGCGGCATATTATGTTTATTTTACTGGCGGTTAATTATTTCTGTCTCTCTAGCACACCCAGTTATAATTATGCTCCAAACCCAGACAAACACTGGATAATGAGATATACAGGCCCCATGAAGCCTATTCACATGGAATTCACCAATATGCTACAGCAGAAGCGACTTCAGACACTCATGTCTGTGGATGATTCTATGGAGGCGGTAAGATTTTACGATCTCATTCCTCAAGTTTTAGAGAAACAAATCAAGCTTTGAGAAATTAAACCAAGGTTTTCACAACTGTAGAAATTCAAGTTTCTTCTTTTGATTTATTATGTTGCATTGCTCTAGGAAGAACAAAGGTACTAAATTATAAAATAGTTACAATAGCAAATATTTCCTAGTATCCAGTATAAATGTAATCAGAGATACACGTAAAAATGGAATAAGAAAAGTAGTCTGCATTAGTGCTCTGAACTTTAATAGCTCTCAGATCAGTATTTCAGTCCTTTGAGATGAAATGGCAGGAAATAAAAGGTGTTTTGATATTGACATGTGTTGAGTAACAGTTATTCAGCAAACATCTGGAAATATCCCTAAATAAATAAAGCTGGAACCTAGACGCTTTCCCACAATTATAGTCCTAGTTGCATAGACACAAGGGAAGAGATCTAATCAGGAGAGGCTCTTCAACAGGAGAAAGGAATACTATTTCTTCTAGTTTCCTAAAATAGTTCTAGAAGGAGCCATTAAGGGGGGAAAGGCATGAATTTTCTTAACTTCCTTGCTCTGGAAAGGAAGAAAACTGGTCTTGCACCTCAAAGCCTTTAAATACTTTGTTTTCTAAACAATGTGTTTATTTATTATTTATTATTTATTTATTATTGCGATTTATATGTCGCCTTTCTCCCAAGGGACTCAAGGCGGCTTACAAAATGACAATTTCCAATACAAATCACAACAAAATAAAATTAAAATCAACAATGTGTTAACAATATGTAGAAGTTTTTTTCTGAAGCTCTGAACCATTCGTGATAGGAAGACCACAAATGTCTCAAGCAGTGTATGAATATGGATATGTACACATTCATTTGTGAGAGATCTCAGGTCCTGTTCTTGCCAGAGGGCAATTACAAAGAGTTGATACCTTCTGTGAAAATTGATAGTCTTGTTCTCAAGTTTATAAAGTTGCCAGACAAACATGGAGGAAAAATAATTTACTGCTGCCTATTTGACCTTCTTGTAATTTGTTTAAGTTTAAGCAAAACACAGGAATTCCATGACAGTAAGATTAGGATTACATTGAGGCTAATTGTGATTACATTATCACTGATTTGTGGTCTGTTCTAGGATATTATAATCTTTTTGTCAATGCTACTGTATACATTTGAGGAAATAGTAGTCTTGCAATTTATCATAGTGGCTATTCAGCCTTAAAATTGCTTAACGCATTGTAAGCCGCCCTGAGTCTCCGGAGAAGGGCGGCATATAAATCAAATTAAAAAAAATAATAATAATCCCTAGTAAATTTGCTGACATAAAATACACACTTATAAATAAGGACGATACATTTTAAAATACTATCAGTCAGTCAGACTTAACCTTCTGCTTTCTCACAGATGGACTCCAAAAATAGTTATGCTTTGACCTGCTTTTCTGTATTAAAAAATGAAGGTATCTGGGTCATCATAAAATGCAATGGTTAGCATTCCTTGTTAGCTAAACGAACAGCCTTTTATAAAAACCAGAAACACAGTTTGAAGGAAAATGTTTCACCTAAGATAAGTTAACCAAAGCAGAATTCAGAATGGGGGTGTTACTTGGAACCCTGACAATAATTCCATAAAATGTAGTTATTGATACAATAAATCATAACAATTGGATATGTGTGTAGCCCTTCTCAGCTGGGGATAGCTGACCTTTTAAATAACCAAAACATTGTGAACTGAGAAAACCAGTAATCCATTTTGGATCTCAGTCTTATTATAGGAGTTAAGGACTAAAAGCTTAGAAAGATATAAGACAGGAGAAAAAAACTGCTATGTACTGTGATGGTTATGGGAATCATAGAGTTCTGTTCCTATTTTAATTATCTTTGGGTAAAATTAGGCATAGTAGAAAAGAGATTTCATGTTCAGTACCATGAACCTGAATCCCTTCTATTTTTTTTTTTTTTTAATTTCAAGTAACAGGACACAGAACAGTTAAACTTGCCTCCCCCAAGTGTTTTTAAAGGATTTAAGAACATACTTTGGTCAAACAGAAGAGTAATCCTTGGCCTATGGATTTCATGAAGAAATTGCTTAGTGTTGGCCCCTATAATTACAATTTTATGCTGTTTCTGGTTTAGTGCATGTTCTTTTTAATTTGTTGCACCTGTTTGAAGTATTAAAAATAAATGTGCATTGTGAGGTGGGGAGAGTGATACATGGTTTGTTAAGAGACAGAGTATCCTGCAGCATGATATATTAGCATTCCATGATGTGGCATGTTCCAGAAGAGCTAGGCAATAAATCACTCCCAGTAGCACACCAAAGGTTGTCCAACAATTCCACAGATCCGGTACTTCTAGATCAGAGTTTCTCAACCTTGGGAGTTTGAAGACGTGTGGACTTCAACTCCCAGAATTCCCCAGCCAGCGTTGCTTTTGGGAGTTGAAGTCCACACGTCTTCAAACTGCCAAGGTTGAGAAAGGAACAGTTATTGCCGCTATCTTCATTCTTTGTATATAGTTTAATTTGGTTGAAAGCTTAATTGTGCGGATAGCAATGCAAGGACTTATTGCCTTGATTGTTTAATATTTTTGCTTTAAAGAGAACCTGCCAGAAAAAAAGGGGGGGGAGTAAAGAATTTTTAAGAATCAAATACTTTTAATACCAATGGAATAACTTTATATATTCAGTGTTATTTACATATAACATAATAACAATGGGATTATTGTTTTTTTCAATCTAAGACATAGTGTCTCTATGAATATGTTTATTTTATTCATTAATGTGTTTATTTTATTTTTCAGATTTATAATACATTAGTTGAAACAGGTGAACTGGAAAATACCTATGTAATATACACAGCAGATCATGGCTATCATATTGGGCAATTTGGCCTGGTGAAAGGAAAATCCATGCCATATGAATTTGACATCAGAGTTCCTTTCTATATACGTGGTCCAAATGTGGAGGCTGGATCCTTGTAAGTTAATGAGCTTGGTGGCTCCAGGGGAGTAAACTGAATATCATGGCTAATTCTGCATTGAGCAATGTACTTCTGCCTGAGTGCATGGAATCAGGATAGGCACCTAAACGATTTTTGTTTTGGTTTGAATATGTTTAGGGCTTCAGGAGTCAGGAAACTCAGTAAAGAAATGAGGGATCCTGGTAAAGATCTTCATATGGAATATCCAAAGATCTATAAGGCAGTCAGGCACCTAAATGTTATAAGGAAGAATTTGTACATGTGCCAACATTGCTTCCTACTTCACTTCTTCTTGTATGTAGGATATGTCTGCATAAAACTAATATTTTGCTGGCAATTAAGCAATATTCAAAACATCTGTCTTTAATATAAAAATATATTTCCTTATTTGATTCTCCTATCATAGATGACTGCTTTGTTATGTATGCCCTCTGAATTTAATCCAGTTGTGACCATTACTTCTGTTCTGTCTACTATACAGTCTTGAAGCTGCCATTCCTCTTCCCCTAGCCTACCATTTCATCAGAAAAAAAATTTGGATTTTTTTTCCCCAAGAGTGGTAACGAGGAAAAGGAGTTGCAGCACTGTACTAAATATTCTTCAGTTGACTTTCCTAGTGCCAGTTTCCCTAAATTTTGTTATAGGTCTGTTCTTAATAAGCCAGTAGCATGTGGAAGGAATAACAGAATTGTGGATGATATATTCCCCCCCAGGTTTTAAAACCTTTACACTGCGGTATACTGTCCTTTATTAAAGGAGAATGTCTGACTGTGCAAAGCATAGCAGCCTTCCAGACTAATTTTCTTCTCCATTCACATAGGGATAAATGACTGTTTTTCATCCATTCCCTTTGCACATGTTCAGTGTCAGTTCTATTCATCAGATTTCATTTTTTTTCCAAGCACGCATTTCAATGATACACTTTTTTCTCATATTTCCAGTTAATATTTCTCATATTTCCACTTAAAATGCGTAGTTAGGCCAAGATGTTCACTGACGCTTAGGGTTTAAGTGAAGCCTGTTTTAATTGAGGTTGTACTCTCCCAACTTTTTTAAGGCAGTGTTTCTTAACCTAGGCAGTTTTTAGATTGGTGGACTTCAACTCCCAGAATTCCTCAGCCAGCATGCATTCTGGCTGGGAAATTGTAGGAGTTGAAGTCCATTCATCTGAAAGCTGTGGCAGTTGAGAAACATTGGTCTAAGGAGCCATTTCCACTATTAATTGGACCTGATTACTTAGATCCGTGATGGCGAAGCTATGGCACGCGTGCCAGAAGTGGCACGCAGCGCCCTCTCTGATGGAACGTGAGCTGCTGCCCCAGTTCAGCTCTGCTGCACATGCTTCCCACCAGCCAGCTGGTCTTCGGGTCTCTGCCGCGCATGCATGGGAGGGGGGGGGGGGGGGGGCGCTTGCATGCATGGGGGGTGGGGCACACACAGGGGAGCCCTGTGCATGTGGATGCACAGGGGTGGGGTGCATGTAGGCGGCTGTATGTGCATTGCATTTTGGGGGTTCACATTCACACACACTTTGGGCACTCGATCTGGAAAAGGTTAGCCATCACTGACTTAGATCATCAGGAGAGGCCCTTTTGAAGATGCCTTTGCTTCCTAAAGCTCAGTTGCCTGGCGCACGGGAGCAGTCTTCTCCTTCATAGAGTACCCTTCCTAAGAAGGAGCATTTGGCCCCCACTCCCCTAGGTAGCAAAATGGTAAAAAAAAATTTGTTTAATTGTTTAAGAATTATTTTAAGCCTCCTTGACTGCTTATTAATAAATAATATATATCCAAATGATACCCTAAGACAGGGCTGTCAAACTGTTGAGCCTGGTTTAGCTCAACAGACAGAAGCACTGTAAAACACCAGTTGTCTGCAATTAAAGTAAGATCGAATCTCACCAGGCTCAAGGTTGACTCAGCCTTCCATCCTTTCTAAGGTAGGTAAATTGAGGACCCAGTTTGTAGGAGCAATAAGCTGACTTTGTATAAATATACAAAAGTATGAAGGCTATTGCTTAACACACTGTAAGCCGCCCTGAGTCTCCGGAAAAGGGCGTCATATAAATAATAATAATAAAAAAAAACCAACTCCCAGCCCACAGGCCAGATGCATCGCACACTGGCCATGCCTACGCCCGGTTTAACGAAGGGGGAAAAAGTCCTGATACGCCAACTGACACCAACGTGACAACGTGGTGCCCTAAGACAATAAAATAAGGCATCGTACATTTCAAATCAATCAATAGTGAATTTGAAACACCCCATTTTGCATGATAAAATGCTGTTTTGTGTGCATAATGGACTGTCTCAAATATCTTGCAAGAGTCTAAGTTGCTTGAAATGTCCATTCAAGCTTCAAATCAAAAGTTTTCGTGCTTGAAAAGAGATGTTTTAAATTTGAAATGAAGTTTAGAAATTCCAATCCAAAACATTTTGTTGCTTGAGGTAGGAAACTTACCAAGTTTTCTCTGTAAGAGTAAAAATACAATAATCATAAATTAACATGACTTGAAACAGATGCTGCTATAAAGCTCATTCTTTGGCTTCACAAAATTTAGAATACTTTTCAAGCCAAAGAATAGTTGTGTTCTGAAAACCTATTTTGCAAAGTATTTAATCAGTTTGATTACACATGTAGGTTAAATAAAATTTTTCCGAAATTCTTTCTTTATACATCCATATATTAGGTGAAAAATAAAAGCCTAAGTTTCTAAAAACTGAAGAAATTCTGGTATTTCTGTGATGAAATTTTTAACCAACTCTTTTCATCCTTAGGGTGAAAGATAGGTTTCTAAATAAAAATACTGTAACAAGTTAGCTGTTCTAGTAGACAGGAATCATCAGAAAGTGATTATGTAAAGTAGCAGAATTATGCAATATTTCCTTTGTGTTCTGATTACAAGTAAGGTAGAGAGACAGAAAGGAGAGAATTTCACATTAATTATAGGATGTGAATCTACAAATTATTTTAGTGCTTAATTTTTGCAATGTAATAATTATTTCTACCCTAAAATTGTCTGTGTTGTATGTATATGTATATGTGTTTATGAATATGAATATATAACAGTATGCATGAATTAACACAAGTAGCACTTGTACTTTCTCTCTTTTTAATATAAAGAAAGAAAAAATTTGCTGTTGCAAAACAGCAACAGATATAAAATATCTGCATTGACTCTTCATAGATTTTTTCAATTGAAATGAATTTCATCAAGGTAAAAAACCAGATCAAGAACAAAAAATAATAGTATGCCTTTAACACAATTTAGGATTACCTAAAGCATAATAGGATGATGCTAATTTTTTCAAACTCTGATCCGATGACTCTTCTTATTGAATATCACGAAAGTTAACTCCAATTTAAGTTAAGTAGCAGCAGATGACGAGAGATCTAAGCAAAAGATTGATCCTCGACACCCTCTGAATGGACATATGCCCCAAGCTTGCCAACTCATATCTAGGAACAGCTTTATGGCAAGAACCAACAGTCTTGAGTCTACACAAGAACAAAATTGAATTAAAAGATGGATACCTTTGAGTAAGGAATAACATTAAAGGAAGAGATGGCTGAAGGTTCTGACCTCCCTTATACTACTGAGTAGGTTGAGAGTTGGAGTGCCTAAATGTAAAACCAAAAATGTACGCTCAAGTGGACGCTCTTAGAGCATAACAATACACTATGTGAATATGGAGAGACACAGAACCCAGTCCATCTGCTTGTATGTCAACTACTAACAGAAACATGTACCGATAATGTCTTATTTTTGGCCAGCGACAAAGCCAAGAAGGTGGCTTCATTCTGGCAGTTTAAAGTTTGATCTAGACCCAGAAGAAATCGTCCAACATATCTCTAAGACAGAGATGTCAAGCTCGCGATGACATGTTGTCATCATGTGGCATATCACAAGCTTTTTCCCTTCGCTAAACCGGAGGTGGGGGTGGGCAACGCAAGACGCATCTGGCCCGTGGGACACCAGTTTGACGTCCCTGCTCTCCTTGTAGCCAATATCCGATGCTATGCATATTATGTGTAGTAAGGAACCTTATCCAGGGATTGAAACAGTATCAGCCACATTGATAAGCAATAATTGTTCAATGGGGAGAGAGCACAAGTATTTGATTGGAGTAATTTGTTGAGCTTGACCTAGTCTGTTAAAACAAGGGCTTCTGACTGAGCATTTTGTGAGATCTGCCTTCTTCAAGTCAGAGACTCAAAATATTTTTGGGCCACAATTCTCTGAATAATCAAATCTGATGAGAGTTATAGATCAAAATGTCTGAACAGCATCAGTTTAGGGAAGACAGGTGTAAGCAAACATGCCTCATTTTAAACAGTTGGTTTAGTTTTCTAGCTTCCCTAGAGCTCTTTCTTAATCAATGTGAGAAATCTTGTACACTGAATTCCAAGCCCTCTTGACTAATTCAAAATTAACCAAAACCCTATGTCAAGATAGTTCTGATTCATGCAAAGATTTTAAAGTTCATAAGTTAATGCAAAGTTCTCAGCCTTAATGACACCAAGAAACTCTGTTCCCACCCATGAAGAACAGAGATAATTACCCTGTAAGTAAAATCAATGATTTTGGGTCTAGGGTAGGCAAGAAATAAGCTTCCCTGTCACCCTGGGTAATCAAATTTCAGCCTAAATCCCTCAGGAAACTTGCAACCCCCATCGAGTTTGCTTAAATTCCCCAAACAACAGTATGAAAACCCCAGCATTAAGGGATTTAAAGGTCTCAACACAACCTTTGACTGGAGGAAGGGACAGAAATTTTGTTTTCACCAATTTCCCTGAAAGCATCAGCTTTCATGCTGCTGCCAACAATTCCCCAGTTCTTGAGATCAGCTTTTCAGAAAGCACAGGAGGAGAGAGGAAGAGTAAAGATTGCCTCTTTTATGTCTTATAAAAGACATATCGTGTGTGTGAGAGATGTTCTAGAACCAATTAAAGGAGTGTCCATTGCCATGTATTGTTAACCTTGACAGTAGTCTGATTCTTCAGGACATCCTGAGAGAGTAGCATTTTAGATTGCCTGCAATCTCTGTTGCAGAGGAGCCTTCATTTAAAAGTCTTCTTAGAATCAAAATTCATTTTTTTTGTAACGCTCACATAGATCAGTCAAAATGACCCATTTGAGTTCATCCCATTAGAGAAAATGGTAAAAAGGAAACTTGTACACACTCGACAAGGTGATTTGTCAGATACTCAATTGGTGTTCTTATTTCCATACAGAGTCCATCTACAGCGATATTTTTGCTAACGCCGGTTGTATCTACCTAAATTAATTGCTGACTGCCCCCCACTTATCATCCCTGATTTAACAGTCATTGCTGTAGTGAGGCCTCATTACCATAGGTTCATTACTTCTATCCTGAAATGTTACACTGCATTAACTGGTAATTAAAATTGAGCTGCACTTGTCAAGCAAATAAACAAATGTATTATCTTTGGTTCTTGTCCTTGTTTGTTTTCAAATCCAGTAATTTACAAATGGATTCATTCATTGTTGCAAATTAGCATATTGCTATCTTGCTGTGTTTCTAAGCTAGAAATTTGCAAAAGAGCAGAAAACTAACCATATGGCACTATCTTTGAATTGTAATTTCTCTCAGTAAATTATGGCAAGTATGTTCTTGTCTCCAAAGATCCCTGTAATCGTTTTTCCAAGGCTTAGTTTTTGGATTTGCCACTTCTTGATTGTTTCAATAAGCATCTTAGCTGGAGCTATTGTAATATAATGATTAAAAATGATCTATGAATCAATTCCTGTTCTTTTTAATCTTGCCTCTTCCGTGAACTCAACTAGGTGGCTTAGGAAAATGTGCTCTTTTTAATCTCATTTTTAACTGTCTTCCCCCCAATCTGTAATATTTTTATATCTATATCTGAATTGCCCTGAAAGGGCTAGATAATTATCTTAACGTCAATGAGTTGAAAACATGATGCATTTCATGGGTCTGAGGGACAGTATCAGTGTTGGTGGGAGAGGTCTTGGTATTTCTTTGCTTAGGCTGTTGTTTACTCTTAGCTTGTTTGTCTGAGTTGATACTTCCAACTACCAAGATCTCGCCCACCAACACTAATAGGGTAAGCCACTAGTATATTAAATGAGAACAAACCCCACTCCATTTTAGCACTGATGATATTATCTAGTTTGGTATTGAAACGTCTGCAAGAAAACAACCAGGTTTACAGAGCACCAAGGACCCCACAGTTCAACTACAAATATTCTCTTCCAAATATATTTTTGCACAAGCTTAAAACTAGCCAACTATATCTTCCTTACAAAAATGGAAGAAGTAAAACCTAGCATTTCTGGATTGCATACAATTAATAATATAAGCACAAGATTTTATCTTATGTACCGTAGTGTCATTTTATGTGCTTCACCTATCAAATAATGCTAAGAAAATGGCTCTAAGGGTTACAAGCTATTGTAACTTAAGTGTGACGCTCTCAGATATAATATAAATTCTAAATTACAGGTAGTCTTCGACTTACAACAGTTCAGTTAGTGATCATTCAAAGTTACAATGGCCCTGAAAAATGGGATTTACGACCATTTTTCACAGTTATGACCTTTGCAGCATTCCAGTGATCGTGTGATCAAAACTCAGATGCTTAGCAACTGGTTCATATTTATGACTGTTGCTGTGTCCCAAAGTCATGTGATCACTTTTTGCGACCCTTCTGACAAGCAAAGTCAATGGGGAAGCCAGATTCACTTAACAACCGGGTTATTAATTTATCAATTGCAGTGATTCACTTATTAACATTGAGGCAAGAGAGGTTGTAAAATGGGTCAAAACTCACTTAACAATAGAAATTTTGGGCTCAATTGTGGGCGTAGGTCAAGGACTACCTGTATTACTAGAAAATGCAGGTATTTTCCCCCAAATTGATAAACACCTGGATCCTCAGAAGAGTACATGGTTTAATACTGTATCTGCTACAGATTAGGCTGGGATTATTGTTCCAGCTGTTTTGTAAAGATTGTGTATATATATTTCTTTTCAGGAATCCTCACATTGTATTGAACATCGATCTTGCTCCTACAATTCTAGATATTGCTGGCCTGGACATTCCACCTGACATGGATGGGAAATCCATACTAAAACTGCTGGATTCTGAAAGATTGGTCAATAGGTAAGGGTGGAAAACATATGCAGTACACTTACATATCCTGCAGTTATGGGAACCCTGGTTTTTATTATTAAATAGATGGAACATTTGGTTCTGTTTTGTAGGTCTGCATTGGGAAAACACTCTATGAATCTTTCAGGGAAAAGTATTTCCATATATTACAGATTTCAAGTTTCCCTTGTGTATTTTTTAATATCGGTGCTATTTGTGTTACATAGAAATTGTCTGGGGAAAGGAGAGACACACATATAAGAAATTCATTCTCTTAGTATCTGTGCTGTTTTTAATCTGTCTCTCTTACCCTGATGCAGGGGGCGGTCTGGGGGCATGGGTGTGAAGCAGTTTCTCTTTGTCTCAATTTCATACCACTCTAAATGGAATAACCAAGGTCAACTGAATGAGGTTTTCATCCTTTTTTTTTTTACAAACAAGCAAAGCCTATTCTTCCTATTCTGAAAATTTCTATTCCTGCTTCACTATTCTAAAGTATTTCACTATTCTAAAGTGTCTGGATGTTTTAAAGACCTAACAAGTAGTAGGAGAGATATGAGGAATAGTAACAGCAATAGCACTTAGACTTATATACCGCTTCATAGTGCTTTTACAGCCCTCTTTAAGCAGTTTACAGAGTCAGCATATTGCCCCCAACAATCTGGGTCCTCATTTTACCCACCTCGGAAGGATGGAAGGCTGAGTCAACCTTGAGCCTGGTGAGATTCGATCTGCTGAACTGCAGATAGCAGTCAGCTGAAGTAGCCTGCAGTACTGCACTCTAATCCTATACTAAAACTAATGTCCACAATAAATATTTGGGATGGGTGGATGAATGGACGCAGTGGTGAGTTTCACTTACCTTTGCTACTGGTTCGCTCACATGCACAGAGCATATTTAATGACATCCAGGTGGGTGGGCGGAGCCTCCCACCACCGCTACTACCGTCTCCTGAACTGATACGAACTGGTAGCAACCCACCACTGAATGGACGGTTGGGCAGACAATAGGCAGGCAGGCAGGCAGAAACTATTGGTAATATACAATATTCTGAAGTGATTTGTCTTAACCATCTTAATCATCAATAGGCTGATATTTGCCTAACCTGAATAGCTGTTGCTGTTATCCAAAGATTAACAATGAAACACATGTGGTTACCAAGGTACTGTTGATTTCAAAGTAGTATTCACAATGTTCACAATTACACATAATTTTTAAACAGAAATCTTGCACATTTGTCAGATTATACAAGATTTCAGTACATAAGGTTTGGACTAATCATAGTTAAATACGATTCAAACCTATGTTTCAGTTTTTCCAGATTCCATTTGAAAAAGAAAATGAAGGTTTGGAGAGATTCGTTTTTGGTGGAGCGAGGGTAAGTAGCTTTGAAATTTGCTTTGTTTTATTTTTTTTAGAGACTTCATTGCTCAAAGCACAAGCTGCTAGAATTATTGTAGTTGAAGCCAGTTGTTTGTCTTAAATTATGTAATTTCTTCAGCAATATTATGTTTTTCCTTTGGGAAGTTGCTTTAATAACAAAAATGAATTTATTAGTAGATTCATTCTTACTGGAACTGTTACACAGTAAGAACACATACAGTTGATTGTGATCAACATATTATCTCAGATAATTGTTTTTTTTTAATGTGATAGATAGTTCTCTGCCATAGTTAATGAAATCAGGCTGTTGTAAAAACTAGAGACTAAATCATACTATCTAGTTGAGCAAATTGCTTCCTATTTCTGCAGGATTTCCAGAGAAGGCCTAAAGGCATTCTTCCTGTATTTTAGTTCTTCAGTAGTTGCTGCCTAGAATCACATTGTCTCTAAAACTTCAGGCTACATTAATCTGTTATAGTTAATAGCACTGATAGCCAAGAAAATACATGTAGTCCTCAACTTACAACAGTTCATTTAGTGATCCTTCAAAGTTATAGAAGATCCCAGGGTCATGTGTTCAACTTTTGTAACATTCTGATAAGCAAAGTCAATAGGGAAGCCAGATTCACTTAACAATTGTGTTACTAACTTAACAACTGCAATGCACGCTGATGATACTCAGCTGTACATCTCCACCCCAAACCACTCCAATGATGCCCTTGAAGTGATGTCCCAGTGTCTGGAGGCCGTGTGGGTCTGGATGGGGAGGAACAGGCTTCGACTCAACCCTTCCAAGACTGAGTGGCTGTGGATGCCGGCATCCCGATATAGCCAGCTGGTGCTATCGCTGGCTATTGGGGGCGAGTCACTGACCACCACAGAGGGGGCTCACAACTTGGGCGTCCTCCTGGACACTGCTGTCTTTAGGAGAGCATATGACGGCTGTGGCCAGGAGAGCTTTTTATCAGGTTCGCCTGATACGCCAATTGCGCCCCTTTCTGGATCGGGATTCCTTATGCACAGTCACTCACACTCTCGTCACTTCCCGCCTGGACTACTGTAACGCTCTCTACATGGGGCTCCCTTGAGGAGCAACCGGAGGCTCCAACTGGTCCAGAATGCGGCCGCGCAGGTGATTACGGGAGTGACATGGCGCTCCCATATAACACCTCTCCTGCACAAGCTGCACTGGCTCCCGATGGTCTTCCGGGTGCGCTTCAAAGTGTTGGTTCTCACCTTTAAAGCGCTCCATGGCTTAGGGCCAGAGTATTTACGAGACCGCCTTCTGCTACTGATAACCTCCCACCGGCCAATACGCTCTCACAGAGAGGGCCTCCTCAGGGTGCCGTTGGTCAAGCAATGTCGGCTGGTGGCCCCCAGGGGGAGAGCCTTCTCTGTGGGGGCACCTGCCCTCTGGAATGAGCTTCCTCCCGGAATACGACTGATCCCGGATCTCCGCACTTTCCATAAGGCCCTGAAGACATTTTTATTTCAGCAAGCCGGCCTAGCCTAATTAGGTTTTATGGGTTAGTTTTTAATTGTATAGCTTTGGGGTTTTAAATTGGGGGCCGATTGATTTAATTTATTTTAGCTATCTTAACTTTTATATTGTATGTATTTTAATTTCGGCTGTTCACAGCCCTGAGTCCCTAGGGGGAGAAGGGCAGTATATAAATTCAAATATAAATATAAATAAATAAATAAATAAAAATTCACTTAACAACTGTGGTGAGTAAAGCTCACTTAACAAACGTCTCACTTAGCAACAGAAATTTTGGCCTCAATTGTGGCCATAAGTTGTGGACTACCTGGATAGATAGATAGATAGATAGATAGATAGATAGATAGATAGATAGATAGATAGATAGATAGATAGATAGATAGATAACCTTGCTTTTTAGATATTCTCTAGGACAGGGATGTCAAAATCCCCTCCCTTTCGTTAAAACGGGGGTTGGCATGGCCAATGTATGACGCATCTGGCCCACGGACCGCGAGTTTGACACCCCTACTCTAGGAAGACTACAACTCAGAATCAGTTCCTCAAAATTGGCAAGGGACTATACAGAGATTTTTTTGATAAATTCAAAACAAATTTGGGCTTAATTGTGGTCGTAAGTCGAGTACTGCCTTTATAACTTGATCTAATTTACACCAAATCATTCACTATATTTCTCCATAATTTTCTATGTTTGCAAATTATCCTTGCTTCCACCCTGTCCTTACACTACTTCACTCAGTTAATGACAGTAATTGGGGCTGGAATTTCCCTCACTAAGCTGTCCTAAAGCACAGTATCAGACATGACTACACTAGTAGTGGGTTTCAATTTTGGTCACTACAAGTTCGCTTATGGGCATGCGTGTGTGTGTGTGTGAAACGCTTCTGTGCATGCGCAGAGACATCCGGATGGGTGGGCAGAGCCTTCTGCCACCGCCACTACCGGTAGCAACCCACCACTGATAGCGAACCGGTAGCAACCCACCACTGGACTACACTGCTTAGCAATGATGGTTCTGGCACTTCCAGTTGCCAACTTTAAGGACTGGTCATAAGTCCCATTTGTTCAGCGCCATCGTCAGTTGAACAATTGCTGAACAAGTGGTTATTAACCAAGGACAATCTGTAATTGCCTTTTATTCTTTCAACTTCCACTTTTCTTTTTCGAGAATCTCAGCAGTTCCAGGCAACCAACACTTTTTTGGTATTGTTTTATTTTCAAGCCATTTAATCTTCCCTTACATATTTGTTTTATGTTCAGTTTTCATCTTTCTCCTTATGTGTCCATATTACAGCAGTATGCTTTTTTTCATGTTAGTAAATCACTTTTGTGTTCGGTCCTAAATCATTTATCATCTATTCACTCTTAGTGCCATGCCTTCTGATTTTATTAGATGGATTATCTAAATACCATATTTCCACTGCATTCAACTGATTATTAAATTTGTGACAGTATATCAATACCTGACAAAAGTATCAATTCCCTATGCTATTCATTCATGAAAACCATTATATAAGCGATACAGATTAGTGTGTACAAGAATAGTGATTCCATGAAAACATAGAAAAGAAGCAAAAAGTTTAATAATGAATACAGAATTCAATCCAATTCATGATTGTGATTGGTAGATTTCAGTGTTATACTTTTCTGACCAACCATTATAAATTGTATAGATTTCTTTCAAAGTTCTATATTACAAAAATTAAGAGAAGTATTCTCCATTCAAATCATGGAATTCAGCTTTATTTTATATAGTGTGCTAAGAAGCATGCACGAGAGGCAGTGAGATCAAGAAATAAAAATATGAATAATCAAGTAACTAATGTTGTCCAATGGCTTTATCTAGCAGAAAAATTGCATTGTCTAGTACAGTGGTTTTCAACCTTTTGTTCACCACGGATTCCCTATAAATGCCTTTTGTGGCCTTGGACCCCTGAGACTTAACTCAAGATTTAAATCATAACATTTCTTCAAGCCTTCGCGGACCTCCTGTGATGACAATGCAGGCTCCTCAGGGGTCCACAGACCACTGGTTGAGAACCACTGGTATAGTAGGTACGCATTAATCCCAATGTGTGAATTAGTATGTGTCAATTTCATTATTTTTTTACATATTTAAGGCACCTGTATTTCCATAAGCAAAAAAAGCATCTTTTTTTTTTTCCAGTAAGCTGTTGCACAAAAGAGACAATGAAAAAATGGATGCTCAAGAAGAAAATTTTTTGCCCAAATACCAACGAGTGAAAGATCTCTGCCAGCGAGCTGAATATCAAACTGCTTGTGAACAACTTGGACAGGTGAGAAACCATTTTTCAAAAGTATTCAGGTGTCTTGCATCTTGAGACTGCAGTATCATAAGGAAGGCTCAGAAATCCCTTCTTACGATTTTCCAGGTGACAGCCGGCAGTATTAACAGGGTAATTTTTCCTTCTGTTTATGTTGCAGTAGCAGGAAACGTATTCGAGAGTAGGGTGCAGAATTTGAGTGAACACTAAGAAATATTCCCCTTCTTTTTAAAATATTCTTTCAGCTAAACAAATTTCATTTGGAAATTGTAGAGGTGGTGAAAAGTACGTATGTGAGACTATTGCTTTGTCTCTTTAAAAAAAGAGTAACAGAATAATAGAGTTGGAAGGGACCATGGGGATCTTCTAGTCCAGGGGTCTCCAACCTTGGCAACTTTAAGCCTGGTGGACTTCAACTCCCAGAATTCCCCAGCCAGCAAAGAAGAATTCTGGGAGTTGAAGTCCACCAGGCTTAAAGTTGCCAAGGTTGGAGACCCCTGTTCTAGTCCAACCCCCTGGTCAAGCAGGAGACTGGTCTATACCATTTCAGATAAATGATTATTCAATCCCTTCTTAAAAGCCTCCAGTGATGGAGAACCCACATCTTCTGAAAGCAAGCCATTCCCCTGGTTAATTGTTCTAACTGTCAGAAAATTTCTCCTTATTTCTCTAAAAAATGTGCAAAAGTTGTGTTGTTCATTCCTAGAATATTCCAGTTTTCTTGAGAAAGTTCTATATTTCTCTAAGACTATAGCAATACCAATCCAACCTCCTGTCTCGACTACTGCAACACTCTCTATCTAGGGCTGCCCATGAAGACCACTTGAAGGCTTCAGATGGTGTAGAATGCGGCCACGCGGGTTGTGATGGGAGTGTCCCGACACTCCCATGTTACACCCCTCCTGCGTGGCCTACATTGGCTACCGGGTGCCCTTCGGGTGAGGTTCAAGGTGCTGGTTATCACCTATAAAGCCCTTCATGGCTTAGGTCCGGGATATTTGTCGGACCCCCTGCAGCCAGCAACAATCTCCAATCACCCAGTGCGTTCCCACAGACAGGGCCTCCTCAGGGTGCCATCGCCCAGACAATGTCGGCTGGCGACCCCCAGGGGAAGAGCTTTCTCTGTGGGTGCACCCACCCTTTGGAACCAACTTCCTTTGGAGCTCCGGATGGCCCCTGACCTTCACTTGTTTCACCGTGATTTGAAGATCTGGTTATTTCGTAGCCAGGACTGATGAGGGGTTTTTTTAAATAGTTTTTAAACTGATTTTAAACTGTTAATTCGGACTTTTTAATTTTATATTGTATTAATGTTATTGTGTATTTTACTGTTGTGAGCCACCCTGAGTCCATTGGAGATAGGGCGGCATATAAATCGCATTAAACTAAACTAAACTAAAACCAGCCATTCTGGGAAAGTTCATTCTTTCCTGGGGACCACTTCTGCTTCAAAATTTTGAAAATTTTGCCAAGAAAACTGCAGGGAGATGTCTAAGGCAGTCACCAGGAGTCAACACTGACTTGAAGCCCTGCCTCCTCAAAAAAAATTGTTGGATCATCTCTTTTTTTATAAATATTTCTTCAGAAATTAGGTGATACAAAAGTAATATAAAGAAATAGAAGCTGATTTAATTTTTCATTTTATGACACAACTATAATATTAAGAGGATACAAGAGCCTCACCGCTAGCTCAAAAATACCACTTTTAGAGTTCTTTTTACTCTAAACTGATGCCATTGTTTTTTATACCATCTCTCTATGTTGGTACTTTTATGGAGAAAGAAAAACATCTTGTTAGCTTTTCCCTTTCCTGCAGTTTTCTGTTGTGCAGCCAGGTCTAGAAAAAATATTTTAAAGACCATGACTAATCCTTCAGATGACTCTTTGTAAATGGTTATTTTAGCCCTGCTTTATCCCCTGATTATTACAGGCTGCTTGAAGTAAGCAGCTTTCCAAACAACAGTATACATACCTTTTGCCCTTTCTCTTTCTTGTTTTGAAAGAGGTAATAAAGTCTTTCTGCAGTGTCTACAGAAAGTGAATAGCTACCCATAAATTCCATTGGCTGTACTGCTAGTAGAGAAGAAATGATGAAATTGCTGTCGCCTGTGTGTTTGTTGTCAAGGAACCAAAGAATGGTTTGAAGCATTTCAGCATGAATTGGTTTGGGCACTGCAGCATAGGATAAAACTGAGCAACAAAGAACATAACAGAACTTGCAGGCATCGAGTTGATTAATCAGAGCACATTTCCAAATAGTCACCATTCCCATCATTCATTGAGTCACTGTCCTACACCTGTTGCTCTGTCTAGACAATCAATGTCTAGGCAGGGGAAAATGTGTCAGGAGACAAAAACTGTTTTTACAGTATATCTGTACAAGATGAGCCAAATCGGTGAGCGGTAAGTATTTTCTAATGAATGTGTGTTACTGTTCTTTCAATATATAGTGTTATCTCATGCATTGTCTTAAAAATATGTGCCAAATGCAAGCTGTTGATATGCAAAACTGTTTTCATACTAAGCTAAACTCTGAATTCCATGATCTAATGTTGTGTCTTCTCAGACTGAATTTTAAATCCTATTCTAAATCCTTTGTATACAGAACACTTGCTAATCAGGATGAGCTCCAATCTGTTCATTCATTCAGACATTTATAAATAACTCCTGTATATGCATCGGTCATGTAGTTTCTGGTGATACATTTTGTACCTAAAGCCAGTTTGGGAATGTTCATATAATTCTTTATTTTTACATGGAATAACCTTTCACAGGCATTTCAGATGGATACAAGTAAATCAGGATAGAAGTAGTTGCTACACTAAATCAACCAGGAGGTTGCATATGGCTCATGAGTTGCTCACCTATTCTCTGTAGGAATTATCTTCCATCCAGGTGCTACTTAAGTGTTTATATGTTATATTAATTACTCTGTATCTATTTTGGTCTCTTGTTTCTGTGGATACAAAGATAAATATATGATCAGGTTTGAGATCATTATAGTCCTTGACTTACGGTTACAGTTGGGACCAGAATTTCTGGTGCTAAACAAGGCAACTGATTTTACCACCTTTTTTGCCACAATTGTTAAGTGCATTGCTGCCGTTGTTAAATGAATTATGTGGCCATTAAGCAAATCCAGTTTCCTGCATTGATTTTGCTTGTCGGAAGCCCACTGGAAAGTTCACAAATGGTGATTGCATGACCCCAGGATGCTGCAGGTGTTGTAAATACATGCTGCTTGCCAACTGCCTGAATTTTGCTCATGGGACTATAGGAATGCTGGGAAAGTCATAAGGTCCAGTTGTAAATTACTCTTTTCAGTGTTGTTGTGACTTCAGTCATTAAACAAAAGGTCGTAAGGTGAGAACTACCTGTATCTCAAAAGAGAAGTCATGTTTCTGTCACTGCTGCTTCTCATCTGAAACTTGTAGACCCTGGAGCAAAAGAAAATGTGCTTCTTATGATCCTTTTTAAAACACACTGGGCCTTCGTTCTACCCGAATAGGTAGAACTTATCGTTTAGATAAGTTCTACCTATTGTGGAAGCATGACGTTAAGTCCCTTGAGTAGTAAAATTATCTGGCAATGCCATATTATAAATATATTTTAAATATATTGACCCTTTACTTTCAAAATCATTTTTTATATATTTACTTATATTTACTGGATTCAGGAGCCTAAAGATCCTGATTTATAGCCTAAAATGAAAAATTTAACAACTAAAATAATTTAAGTGACTTAAAATGTCGATGATTGAAATAGATATTATTATTTCCTAATATCCAGAAGAATTATTTTTTAATTCATGTATGAATTATATGTCTTAAAATTATTTAATAGCTCTCTTTCACAAATATCTTTGTTTTCAGTGGTGTAAAGCCTATCATACAAATATTGCAACATAATGTCTATGCCATTGCAGCATAATGTCTATGAGATACTGCATCCAGTTTTGGTCTCGATGATGTAAAAAAGATGTGGAGACTCTAGAAAGAGAAAGAGCAACAAAGATGATTAGGGGACTGGAGACTAAAACATATGAAGAATGGTTGCAAGAAATGTCTAGTTTAATGAAAAGAGGGACTAGGGGAGTCATGATAGCACTGTTCCAATATCTCAGGGGCTTCCACAAAGAAGGGGGAGTCAAGCTATTCTCCAAAGCACCTGAGGGCAGGACAAGAAGCAATGGGTGGAAATTAATCAAGGAGAGAAGCAACTTAGAACTAAGGAGAAATTTCCTGATAGTTAGAACAATTAATCAGTGGAACAACTTGCCTCCAGAAGTTGTGAATGCTCCAACACTGGAAGTTTTTAAGAAGATGTTGGATAACCATTTGTCTGAAGCGGTGTAGGGTTTCCTGCCTAGGCAGGGGGTTGGACTAGAAGACCTCCAAGGTCCCTTCCAACTCTGTTATTCTGTTATATTCGGTCATCAAATTAGATAACTTTGTTCTTTTTTTAAAAAAAAAGGAAACCAATTTCACTAACAGTGCTACTGTGTGGCAGGTTCTTAGAAACGTGGCTAGCTGAGCATCATGTGAATTTTAAAAAGAAAACACATTTGGGAGCAGCAGACTGTGGGAGGCAATTCTAGTATTTCATTAGATTTCGGTCAGAACATTTATATAGCATTGTAATGTTTATACAGATTTGCTTGTTCAGATACATCTGTTCAGTTGAAAACTTTTAGAAGAGAATTTTGTCTGGTATATAAGAGTAATTTTGTTATTTATTTACCTAAATAATTTTTGTAGCTGCTTTATACACCAACGTAATCCTAGGTAGCATACTAAAGTTAAAGTAAACAAAACCATGTGATATCACACATTTTTAAAAAAACCATACCATTTCAGATCAAGATGTAATGAAACATTCAGCCAATGGGCCTCACTTAACTTCACAGCTCAAATGCCTGTGGGAACATCTCCGTCTTTAAAGCTTTATGAAAGGCCAGCAGAGCTAGGGCCATAAATCATGAAATACTGAAATAAGAAGAAACCACTCTCCAA